TAATTTCTTTCTATTTTTAGTAAAGACGGGGTCTTGCTCTTGCTCAGGCTGGTCTCGGATTCCTGACCTTGAGCCATCCGCCTGCCTTGGCCTCCCAGAGTGCTAGGATTACAGGTGTGAGCCACCACGCCCGGCCCAACACTGTGTCTTACCTAGGGATAGGACAATGAATAAGATTAACATCATTACTGCCTTAGAGTAGAGAGAGAATTTAAAAAGAAATTTTCATAAGCATTCATAATTACTGTGTATGCGTACAGTTCTTTATGTATACAGTTCTGTAGATACACAGAGACTTCTAACGTGGCCTTTGAGGAGTCAGGAAGGTTTCCCAGAGGTAGAAATATCTAAACTTAGACCTGATGGATGAGGAAATAAATAGTAAGTAAAGAGTACTCTACACAGAGGGAACAGCAAGAAACATGTTACCTTTGAAATTTTGAAAGAAATTCTGAATGATGATACAAGGTTGGAGAGAGGGGTGTTAACCATGTAGCAAGAGTTATGGATAGAATAAGCAGAGTCCAGCTCATGAAAATCCTTGTAAGCCATGTTAAAGAGTTGGACTTTTCTCTAAAATGATTAGAAATTTAATACTTTTTAACAGGGGAAAGTATGATTAGATTTGTGTTTTGAATGATTGTTTTGGGTGCCATATAGAGGCAAAAGTAAAAGCCTGTGTTCTGTTTAGAAAGGAAAAGTATTCCTGTCCGTCCTGGATTTTGCTGTGTATCAAAGAGTGCTGCTTATGCCTCCTGGTTTCATAGAGTCCCTTAAAAAAGCAATTCCTTCAGTATTTGCCTATATCCTGGGAGTCACTGGAAACCGTGAGGGGGGGCAGGATAGGGAAAACAAGATTTGAAACATTTGCCATGTGTCCAGCCCTTCCTCCTTTTCTATAGACACGCAGCATCTTCCTTCCCACAGCCCTACCTACACCTTACAAATTAATGCATGCAAATTGCCTAGCCTATGCCTCCCACTGATTTACCATACATATTTAGATGTGCTCAAATTCCAGATTAAGTGTAAGCTGTGACACAAAAGGTATATTGTCCTGTGCCTTTCTTTATTGACAAAGGTATACTTACAGATGCAAGCATATGTCACTTAAAATTTCCTCAAATGCATATCCACATGTTTTCTCCCCCTCACGTTTTGCTCTCCTTACTTCCCTCCTCCTTCCCTTTCTTCCTTATCTCTCACTTTTTTCTCCTTTACATATACAACCAGTTACACATAGTTTTCAAATATGTTAGTGACAGGAAGAAAGACTGCAATTGAATAAATTAATGAAGGAAGACAAATTGAGGGCTTGATGAAACTGAACAGATTGTTAGGTGAATAAGGGTGTGAGTCGTTAGCAGAAAGGATCAGATGAGCAAAAAATGAATGAGACTTGGGAAAACAGTTTATATTTTTTTGTGCTCTATTTCCTGAGATTCTGCTAGTAGTATAAAAGAGGCTTGGTTTGGTATATAGTGGCCAAATAAAAAATATTGAAGATGTTTTTATTTCTTGTGTGTCCTGAGATAAATGGAAAGGGAACAAAGCTAGAAATAAGCATTTACCTGTTTTACATCCCCTGTTATACATTCAAAAAAAGATGAAGAAAACAAGAGCCCCTTTTAAAACTATTTAAATGTTCTCAAAAAGCCAGAATGGATTATGTGTCTGGATATAATTTTCTTGATGAAATATTTTTAATTTTTTATTCTGTTAAATAAGTATTTATTGAAAATAGAGTTTTGTTGTTGAAATCTATTTAATGTATCATGAAAAGCATTTACATGTAATAGAATAGATCAGAAAGTTCTGATTTACATTTTATATAGTCAAGGTAAGTATTATAATATGAATATATGTATATAATGGGTCATAATGTAAAATAGATTTCTTCCTATTGTTTGTGATTAAAACTTGAAAAAAACTGAGATGAATTGAGAATATACAGCAAAGAATGAAATAGAAGTCACCTATACTCTCACCACTCTAAAATAGCCATTGTTAATTAACATTTTGGTATTAATCGGTCCTTCTTATGTTTTCTGCTTATCATATACACAGAACAAACACATTTTAAACAATGTCTGGCTTTGATATGAATGATTTTATCTAGCACAGTTCTGTTATGAGACTCATGTTGTGTATAATTTGTCTTTAACATGGAATTCCTACATGTTGCCTTTTAGTTTCACATAGAGAAACTGTTCACAAGTTTTGGTGGCCTGAACATTCTAATCCTCTAAAAAATTGATAATTTGTTAAAAACAGTTCTTATTGTCTTTTAGGTGATTTTTCCTGTTCCTTATCCTTGTTAGTAAGTTTAGGAAGGGTGGTTCTGATTTTCATCTAATTACATATTAGTTTTATCTTTTAGAAATAACTGTTTTTACATTTTTATCCGAGGCTAACCATTATATTTTTGAACCAGAGATCAGGGAGTCTGATTCTGTCAGCTGTTTGGTAAATTACGTTTATATTCCTCTCTCTCTCATCCCTTTTTAACCCCTCTAGAGGAAATCACTGTTAATTTTTTTTTTTTCCCCACCTTGGGAAAGCTCAAGTAACTTAATTTTTAATGATTTCCTTTTTTAGCTCTTTTGGTGATTATTTTCATATTACTAAATACAGTCATACATTGCCTAATGATGGGGATACATTCTGAGAAATATGTTATTAGGCAATTTCATCACTGTGCAGACATCATGGAGTACATGGTATAGCTTACTACACACCTAGGCTATATGGTACAGCCTGTTGCTCTTAGGCCACCAACCTGTACAACATATTACTGTACTGAATTCTGTAGACAATTATAACACAATGGTAGGTATTTATGTATGTAAACATAGAAAAAGTATGGTAAAAATACAGAATAAAAGATAAAAAATGGTTAGAGTTTGCAGGACTGGAAGTTGCTCTGGGTGAGTCAGTGAGTGAGTGGTGAGTAAATATGAAGGCCTAGGACATTACTGGTCAATAGGCTAGACTTTGTAAACACTGTACACTTAGGCTACTTTGATTTTTTTTTAAGGGCCGGATCTTGCTCTGTCACCCAGGCTGGAGTGCAGTGGCATGATCATAGCCCACTGCAGCCTCGAACTCCTGGGCTCTAATGATCCTCCCACCTCACCTTCTGGAATAGCTGGGACTACAGGCATGCACAACTGCGCCTGGCTAATTTTTGTAATTATTTGTAGAAACCGCAAGTGATCCTCCCGCCTCAACCTCCCAAAGTTCTGGGATTATAGGCATGAGCCACTGCACCCAGCTAAGGCTACATAAATGTATTAAAAAATTTTTTTTCAGGACCGGGCGCGGTGGCTCACGCCTGTAATCCTAGCACTCTGGGAGGCCAAGGCGGGCGGATTGTTTGAGCTCAGGAGTTCGAAACCAGCCTGAGCAAGA